CCCGAAGACACTTTACACAGCTGTGAAACTGCTCTGGCTTAACATCCTTAAGCCCCCTCTGAAGCCACTATCTCATCGGCATAGTGTCCAACAACTATCTCTTCACGGGACATACCCAGTTATAAGAACCGCTGAACTCAGGTTTGTTCAGTGCTATGGTTTGCTACCAGGTATATTTTGTTCTGTCTAAAGGCAGTTTATCAATCAGGGGTCCATTTTTACCAGCAACATGGCAACAGAGTTCACAAACCACCTTATCAGGTTGCCCGGGAAACGGAGCTAGAAAGTTAACATAAGGTCAAATTCGCACACAGAAGGGAAAAGGATTTTGTTAACCCTTTACCTACATAGAGGTTTTCTGTCAACTTGATTGTAATGGATTCTTTTAATATGTTAATAGATTATACTTGTAGTCATTTTTTAGGGCTTTTGCATTTACATTTATATCAGTGATGAGCTATGCATATGCATGTTTGTATACATGTGAGAAAGCTATTTTTTCCAGACTGAAACATCAGTGACACCTTAGGAAAATGTGTAAGCACATATATTAGCTCCATAACAGAGTGTAAGTAGTATTGGAATTAATCACTCTTTGAAGGGATGATATACTCTGTGGTGTAACTAGAGCTGCTGGAAAGGCTCTAGACCTTACCCATGATCATTACCTATGAAGGACACAACACACATCCAGATTAAGGGAATATCATTGTAGGAACACATGCGTGGCTCAATTGGTTGAGCGTCTGACTCTCGATTTCAGCTGGGGTCATGATCCAGGGTTGTGGGATCAGGCTCCATGTGGGGCTCCACACTGAGGGTGGAGCCTGCCTAAGAATCTCTCTCTCTCCGCCTCTACCCCTCTTCCGTTTGTGAGCGCTAATAAAAACAAAAGTGAATATCATTGTAAAAAATGAAGATGTTAGTGTATTTCACTGCTCCTTGTTGCTTTTATAAGGTATTTTAGAGATGAGCTCAGCCAAAAACTGGCTGCTTTGCAAGCAGGAATAGAAAGAAATGAGAATGTCCAGAAATGTGGGGCCTCCTAGGATTGAAACAGACAACTGCTTGGATACCCCCAAACATTAATATCAGTAAAAGGATCTAAGCCTGTGGCAAGGATCAGAATAAGGGTGTTACCTTCCCAATCAAATCTATTATTTCAGCTAGCTTCAAGGTGGCTTCCATTAAGATGAAAGAGAAAGGTATGGATATAAGGAAGCAAAGAAATAAAGCAGGCCTAAGAAAGAGGACTAAAGATTTTGGTTATTGCTGTTGGTACAAGGAACTGACTGGAAACAATTAGATTAGGGTTTTTAAAGAAATCTTGTAGCCACAGAAACCATGAGTCTGGCCTGAGAATATCTGTTTCTGCTAGCTCCTGAAAGCAGCACTCAGACCCTTAAGTTGTACCAGTAGAAAAAGAGCTGTAAGTGATGTAAGAGCCCCCAAGGAAGACACATGCTCCAAGGGTCCCTTCTGATGTGGGTGGCTATGAAAGATGAATGGACAAGGTTGTAGAAGCGGAGGTGAGCTGACTGTCTGACCAAGGCAATTCTTCCACTGCTGGAGCACAGAATCTCCATAATTCTTGCTTAGCTTGGAGTCAAAACTGCAGTGAGTAAGTAGCCGTGTGTTCCTCATCCTTCTCTTTTCTTACCAGTTTTTTTTTTTTAACGTTTATTTTTGAGAGAGAAAGAGTACGCATGTGCATGCACAGAGGAGCAGAGAGAGAGGGAGACAGGATTCCAAGCAGACTCACTGACAGCAGAAAGCCCAGTTCAGGGCCGGAACACGCAAACCGCAAGATCATGACCTGAGCTAAAGTCAGATGCTTACCCAGTTAAGTCACCCGGGCACCCCCTTAATAGGAGTTTTTAAAGCAGTTATCCTGTCCCTATGGCACCACTGTTTATGGGATAGGGGGAGAAAGAGCTTGCTGACAGCGACTATGAGAACCTGATAGAGAAAACACATTTTCTTTACCCTCTGCCTGGACACTACCCCTACCACACATCCTCACTTCATTCGGTCTCTGCTTAAATGTCACCTCCCCAGAGGGGACCAAATCACTCTACTTAAAATCACACCCCATCTCTTACCACCTTACTGTTCCTTTACTCTCTCTTTACACCTTTACCCTCTCTTCATAGCACTTACTCCTCCTTGCTTGTCCCCTTTTATTCCCCACCCCTCCACCCCCCAGTATAAACTCTCTCAGGGCACAACTTGTCTGTTTCCCAGCTGAAGTCCTAGTACCAAGAAATGGCCAGTACATTGTAGGCTCTCAATAAATATTTGTTGGAAAAAAAATAAAAGATGAAACAATTAAGAGCTTCTAATGTCCAAGTGTTTGAAGTTGTGTTTGTTTGGTCCTGTTTTGTTACTTACCTGTATCACATTGTGATCGGTGATAATTATTTGTGAGAACATTGGGATTACTACTTGCAAGGTGACATTATCGGGTAGGAAACCTAACCAAAAAGTTGTCCTCTTGGAAAAGTACAGGTATTGCTAAAACCAAACTGTTTTCATCTGGTTCTGTCTTGTTTTTAAGACTGAGATAGTGAAATGTCACCCCCATGGGAATTTCACCTTGTTTCTGGAATGGTGGTCATAATTGTAGCATACCAACCAGTTAGACCTTGGAATTCCTGTAGGGTCTCCTCATTCCAGGATTCAACAAAGACTGATATAATTAGCTACTACTTACTCAAGGGAGAAGCTCAAGTTCTCCAGGAAGAATTCAGTTCCATCTGACCCAACATTTAATATTTACTGAAGCCTTGTGCCCTTGCCCTCCTATTTGTTAATGTCTCACAGAACTCAGAGTGGTAGAAAAGCAGTGCATTAAACACATTGCATTACAAGTTACAATATGGGATGCGTGGTGGTGTAATTACACCACAGGAGTCTCAGCCAAGCAAAAAGTCAGAAAAGGCTTCCTGGGTAAATGTCAGCTAAACTTGGACCCAAAGGGCAAGTGGAGAGTATCCAAATGAAGAAGGAAGACGAATGGAGTGTTTTCTAGGCCAAAGAAAAAGATATGGAAAAAAATTTTTAAAGGCATGCTGATGAGGCATTACACATTTTTTTCCAGATATTGTCCTATTTTCACCTGTCATGTCCTTCTTTCCTTCTATCTCTAGCTTTTAGCCTATAGGTTAGCCCCTTCTCAATAACCATCCATTGCTCTGGGGAGGTTTATTTGCAAATCCAATCCAGGAACCAATAAACAAAGAAAACGGCTAAGAAGTAGCCTGGAACCGAGCCTACATTACACTTACAAAAATTTGATTTTCTGCAGAAAAAATATTTTGACTCCTACATTTTTGGACTTCATTAGAAAGATCTGAAATAGATGACACCAAGCTGTTTGCCTAAAATAATGTCCCAAGACTGAATTGGCATGGATATTTCCTGAGGTTAAAATAGAAACTTGTTTTGCTAACAGAAAACAACTTGGAAATCAAAGAGTCGTTTAAGTTGAGACCGTTATTTTTCCTTTTCTTGCATAAAATTCCTGTTTTTATACACACTAAGAAATCAGGATAGTGAGCTCACACTGCCACAGAACTTTCCATTAAAAAACTGAAGTTGGAGAAACCTCAAAAAGAAAATAAAGGTAGAAAAAAAAATCAAAAAAAAAAAAAAAAGAAAATAAAGGTAGAAAAAAGTTTGTAATATGACAAGTTCATTCAACAAACATTTAGGAGCACCTAGTACGTGCCAGGCACTGTTCTGGGCACTAAAGAAGAAACTTTCCCTTGAACAGTTTGCATTCTACCAGAAAGACAGACATACAAACAAGAAATAAATTATACGGGACACCGGAAGGTGAGTGCTATGGAGAAAAGAACGAGGTAGAACAAATCATGGGGCATCCTGAGGGGGCCGATTTGCAGCTTTAAATTAGCAAATTTAAAAGCTGAATTCCTCCAAGAGGTAACTTTTAATCAAAGCCTGAAGTGAGAAAGTGAACCATGTAGATATCCAGGCAAAGTATCTGCCAGTCAATGGCCCAAAGGCAGGGGCACGCCTGAGGTGTTCGAGGAACACATGGAAGTCATGGGCTAGGGAAAGAGAGAGAATAGGAGATTAGGCCTGAGAGGTATGAGAGATGGAGTCATTGGGGCAGGGTTTGAGAAGAGGGATGACTCAAAGGATGTATGTTTTTACGTGCATTTTAGAATGATCGTTGTGTGTTTTCATTTGAACAGTCTTTTAGTACATTATTTTTTACTCTGCAACAGCAGAACAAAGATTGTTTAAAATGGTTTCTAAATGATCTCCCCATGATCAGGCACCACAGGCTGCTAAGTAGTAACAGCCCTCCCTCACTGGCCTGCACGTGCCCCTGGAAGGGCAGCCGTTGCTATCGTTCTAACGTGCTCGAAGTTGAGCTGGCAAAGATAGAAAACAGCCTGCACGTTTCTTCTACAAAACTCGACTGGAGAGCCAAACATTTCTTTCGGTTGGTTACAAAATAAAAAAATATGCCTTTGCCAACTCTGCGGGAGAAGCAAACTCCCGGAGTTTGCCTTTGCTAATTTGTCCAAGTCGTGCAGTCGTGCTGTGGTTTCACTCACTGCAGACACTGCTCAGCTCCAGCCCAACAAACCTCTCCAGTCTTGGGCTTCTCCGCCCCCGGCGGAAGCTGCTGCTAGCCCCTGCGGTCACCACCTGTTCAGGCGGAACCCGCGAAGCGCGCACCTTCGCCCCGGGTCCTTTCCCTCCCCGGCTCACCCTTCCCTGCGGAGCGCCCTGCGTTCCCTCGCCCAGGCCGGGCTTGCAACTTTCCTCGCAGCCTGGCGCCTGCCCCACTTGGCTGGCCCTCAACAGACGCTGCTTCCCTCAGCGCTCCAGCTCCCGAGTTTTCCGCGGCTGGGCCAAGCGCCCACACCCCCGGCCCCGGCCTGGGAGGGCGGTGAGGAGGGCGCACGCGCCCACCCCCACCCCCCTCCGCTCCCTGCGCCCCTCCCCGCGGGCTGCGTAGCTCCCCCTGCAGCACCTCCCCTCGCGGGGAGGGAGCCAGAGGGGGCTCCGGGCGCCGCGCCGCAGACCTGCTCCGGCTGCTCGCCGCGCCGCTCTCTTCCGACAGCTGCAGCAGTCGCCGCGGCGCGCGCAGCTCCTCCCTGGAGCCGAGGGGACGAGCGCGCCTCTCCTCCGCTTCCAGCACCCCCAACCTGTTCCCCGCGCGCAGCGGTGCATTCGCCGCCCGACATGGATTTCCTCCTGGCTCTGGTGCTCGGCTCCTCGCTCTACCTGCAGGCGGCTGCCGAGTTCGACGTGAGGTGGGTTGGGCACCCGGGGCGCCCTCTTCTCCTCCTTCCGGCGCTAATTTCGCGCGCGCGGTGCTGGGGTTCCCTCTCCCCGCCCGGCTGCGAGGTCAGAGAGGAGTCTACCCGGCCAGAAGTTGGGCCACCGCACGGCGTCGGCAGGAGGAGAGCCGTCGAACCGCTCTCCAGACCGGTGGCTGCCCGAGGCTGGGGAGGGCGACCCCTTCGAGTCCCGGAACCCAGTCGCGGCTCCCAGCTCCCGGCTCGGGAATCAGGGCTAGGGAAGGAGAAAGGCTGGAGCCCGGCCCCGGGGCTCGGAGGGCTAGCTCCTAAGCCGAGGTGATGCGCAGGACACCTTTGGTCAGGAAACTCTGGCTCGTGATTTAGATTTCCCTACGACCCTTCCACGGGGAAACTTCCAGGTGCCCGGGCCAGATCCCGGCCTGAACCTGTCAGAGCCGCTCACACAAAGTGTAGGGGCGAGGAAGCGATTGGGCTTCCAGGGAGGACCCGTTTGCCTCCGCACTTGGCTTGCTTGCGGGAGGAGGACTCGAAATAAGGACTGAAAGGCGGGGAGCGCTACGCGTGTGTTTGTGTATGTGTACGCACGCACACACCGCTCACGAGACCTCGGGCGAGCCGGGCTGCAGCGTGCTCTGACAGGTTCCAACAACCCCCGGCTCCGTCGCCGCTGTCACTCAGCCGCTCCCCTGGCGGCGGCGCGCGGCGCTCTCTCCCCGCCGCGGGATCCGCTCTGGCGGGTGTGTTTGTGTGTGTCTGTCGGTCAGGAGGGCGTGCTTGGTTATCCCACCTCCTTGCAATTGTAGACCAGACCCACCCCGAACGCCGAGCGCTGCGGCCGGTGCACAAACCAGGCTGGAGCAGCCGGGAGAGATTTTAACCTGGGTCACACCGCCATCCAGTCTTCCTCTTTCAGAGACCCCCCCCCCCCCCAGCCCCTCCTGGTGGCCTTCTGAGCAGCTCCAAAGACAGCCGCACCTGTTTTCCTTGTAATCTTGGAACGAATCAATTCCACGATTGGTTGGCTTTCTTGTACCTGGAGGGGAACAGGAACCGAGGAGAACCAGTGGAGCGCTTAGAAGAGCTACCGCTTGTTTACCACCTGGTTGGAGGAAATAGAAAGTTCGAGGTTATTTTGTGCTTTGTGCTCGCGGGCATAAGGGGAGATAAAAGAAACGGGAATTGAAAAGATTAGGAGTGTTTAAGAAAATGTGGGTAGCGGCCAGAGGCTGTTTTATTTTATTAAAGCAATTCTTTGCCCACGTGTTGTGCATTTCTGGCACGCACACATTTGCAATAAGAAATACATCACATGGTTTTGCGTTAAGATTTTTAAGGTAGCTTTAATTTTAAAACAGCCAATTAAAATATTGAGCCTGTGGGAGTAAAAAGTCAGGTGTGAATCTAAAAGAAACGATTTACCAAATAAGGTGTCAAAGTGGAACCTGGTGGATAAATTGGTATCCTTGAAATTGAATACTTGTAGTCCTTATTTACATTAATGAGGAAGATAACAGGGATTGTTGATGCAGGAAAGTTTCAAACCACAGGGACACTTGAGATGTTAGCTACACTTTAAACTCTTCCAGGTTTTATTTAGACTTCTTTTTCTAATACTTCTTTATTTTCTGGGAACATTTTCTGCCAAAGAGTCCTATCTCGAAAAGAGATCTGTTTCATTTGATTTTGAGGACGACCATCTTTCTGCCCCTTCCCACATCTTCTCCTTTCCAAGGCAGAAAATGTAAGGCAGATTTTTTTTTTCTTTCTGCTTTGACATGTCATATTATTTAATACTTTTCAGTTTATGATAAATCAGTCAAAACTGGTTTTCCCCCAAATAACAGGTGTGGGTCTTTGAGGAATCTGTTTTATTTCAAGCTTCAGAAACCACCCTGTGAGTGTCAGCCTTGAGAATTCTTGCTTTTAGCTGATGCTATTTCCATATTACAAAGGATCTTCCCCTCCCTTTCACCGTGCTCCTGTGTGTTGTACATATGTTTAACTGTCTGAAATTTGGAACTAGATCACAGCAGAACTATTTTCCTGAGTTTTATCCTTAAATTTCTGCCGGCAGGAAGGAGTTCATAGTAGATTGTTGGGTGTGATTTAAATTCTTTTTTAAAAGTAATACCAGAGGAAATAATTTTTAATTTCAAAAGTATCTTTATTTATTTTGAATCTTTTTGTTTGGTAGGTGGCCCAGGCAAATAGTGTCATCCATTGGCCTGTGTCGTTATGGTGGGAGGATTGACTGCTGCTGGGGCTGGGCCCGCCGGTCCTGGGGACAGTGTCAGCGTGAGTATCCTCTCTGGGAACTTCAGCTCCCTATGGGGTGCGGCTTTCCACCATTATTCATGGCTTCACTCTGCACATCAGTGGGCTCATTACTGAGCAAGACTTGGTGGTGTGGTTCTGACACGGGAGTTTTCAGTTCCTGACTCCTTATCTTGCCTCTTTCAACCGGAGCCAGCTGTACGTAGCAAGGGGCCAGCTTTGTCAGTCACAGAAGAGCCACCTTTGATGCTTTAGCATTTGTCCCCAGTATCCCCAGCTCCTGTTTTCTCATCAGGCTTTTTCTTTTCTGTGCTCCAGACTCTGAGATGGAGGTAAGATAATGAGTCTAGACTGTATTTACACTAAACAGTCTCTGAACCTTATAGCACTAATATAATCCTTACCATACTTGTTGTGGAAGGTAGCCTATTTGTAAAGCCTTTTTTTTTTGAAGTTAGATTGTATTGACTATTCTAAATAGACCACCCACTGTAATCAAATAACACCTCTGAAATAGAATAGTTTTTATTTTCTGTAAGTAATCAACATCATGGAATAAGTGCCACATCAGAGTACTGATTTTTTACCTTTTCCATGGATATTTTAATAGTAGAAATGAGAACCACATCATGGAAGTTTGAGAAATTGGTTCCCAGCAACTGTATTGGGATCTCAAAATTGTATTCTATTCCCCTACAAGAAACTCCACAAATAATCAAGTAAATTTCTGGGCATCTGTCATGTCTGGTGGGATGATGGGAACACAGTTGGATTCCTCATATCCCAGTGCTCAAGAGAAAGGAGCTTAGAGGAATAGAGAAGTGAAGTGAGGAAGGCTGGAGCCAGACAGGGCAGAGCCCTACAGATGTGTTGGCCGTGGGAGGAATAAATTTAAATTCAGGGAAGCTAGGTGTTCCCACAGCTATGTCCATCTTTGAGAATTGTGCATGATATCTGCCCTTAACTTTGCGAAGAAGGAGGGAGAGTAATATTAACAGGTTGACATCTCTGGTTGGAGATGGAAAGGTAAAAGGGGACTAAGGTTTTTCTGTTACCTGCAAGGCACTGGGCTAGACTTTTTGCACTGTTGGGCCATTGCGTCTTTTAATTAAGGGAGATGATGGTAACTCCAGTTTCCAGTAAACAAAAGAACTAGGCAAAGCTGCTGTGCCTGACAGGTTAGTTCTTTTTAAGTTTTTAAACATTTATTCATTTTTGAGAGACAGAGCATGAGCGGGTTTGGGTGGGGGGGGGGGGAGTGCAGAGAGAGAGGGAGACACAGAATCTGAAGCAGGCTCCAGGCTCTGAGCTGTCAGCACAGAGCCCGACATGGGGCTTGAACTCATGAACCGCGAGATCGTGCATGACCTGAGCTGAAGTCGGATGCTTAACCAACTGAGCCGCCCAGACGCCTCTCCACTGGTTAGTTGTTTTTGAGGGAAGATGGTCAAAAAGAAGAAGGGTGCCTGGTGGAATAGTCTTCTGCCCATTATACCACAGTGTCAAGAAGCATTTGCATAGCTGGGGGCCACAGGTGTGGAAATTGAAGAGCAATCCGCTTTTGATAATCAAAGCGTGAAGAGAGGATGGGCTCAGCACACACCACACCGTCCCCAAATAAAAAACATGAGTAGTTTCTTTGCGGGAATGCAGGTAATTTCCCCTTTGCTGCCTTAATTGTCAGGATTATTAAAGTGCTTTGGGGTGTGCAGGGTCCCCCAGCCCTACGGAGGACAAGGCTGTTCTGGCAGAGTGCCCTGAGCAAAGTGGAGCACACTGTCCCTGCAGACAGAGTGGACGGCTGGCAGAGGCGGAGGAGTCCATGCGCACTCTGCCAGATGTGCTAGAAGAATTCCAAGGAGAAAATTCTTCTGTGTCTCAGAGGTTCATCAACCGTGGAGTTCCCCGGAAAGAGCTTCTAAGAGCTGTTTTGCCTTTTTACGTGTAGTTACGTTTTCTCTAGTATACACCAGCTTGGTGACTCTGAATTTAAATGAACGTAAAGACCTTGCACAGTTTCAGTGGCATTACCAAATTTAAACATCCAACATCCGAGGAAGTTCCTAGCAGAGTATTTTTCCCAGCAGAAGTGAGCCACCATTTTATTATTTTCTATACCGTCGTTTTGTTTCTAACAGAGTGTAAAGTGGTGAAGCGTAGTATTTGATAGCATTTATCTTTCTTCCTGTTCCTTGAGAATCTGCGGAAGCTGCTACAATGACATGAGTCAATTATTGAAATGATAATGTTATAAAAATGTATAGATCCTGCACAAATCACAGCTTACCTTAACGGAGAATTGGTGGAAGTTTGAGAGGCAGCATAATGGAGGGGAACATGGACTCTGGAGCTAGACTCCCTGGGTTTAAATTTCAATTCCACTGCTTATTAGCTGTGTGACCTTGAGCAAGTGATTCGACCTCTCTGTGTTTGAGTACAACACCTCATAGGACCATACCTGAGGTGTAAATGAGTTATTTGTAAAGCACATAAAACAATTCCTGGCACAGAGTAAATACTATGTATGTGTTTGATGAAAGTAAAGAAATATAAAGTAATACTTCTATTCAAACAGTTTTGTGGGATGGGACACACCCATGCTATCAGATTCTTTGTTTTCTAGGCATGATAAATGTATTTTTGCATTTATACTGCCAAAATTTAAAAAATGATTCTAAGATTCTCAGTGATACAATAAAATAAAAAGCCTTTAAATTAAAAAGGGCCAGATGGATCTTTACCATTAATATTATAGATGGCAAACTTGTAAAAAAAAAAAAACAACAACAACAAAAAAACAAATTCAAAGATGGATGTTTCCTTGTGTAAGTTTTGTTTTTCCAGAATCCCAGATGGTCCAAATGTCTCTTGTCAGCTTAGAGTTCCCCCCATCTTTGTTTTGCTATAAACAGGTGGAGGAATGTGGGGGCCAGAGGTCAGCTCAAAGTAGGAAGAAGAGCGCCAAAGAGAGGCTTGCTGGGGACAAACAGAAAGCTCCTGATTAGTTTTTAAAGGAAACTTTTAAAAGAATTAAATGTTTTTGTCACTACATTTATTCAAGGAAAAAAATGCCTTGCTGTTCTTTAAACACTTACACTTGTGGGTAATGGATTACCTACAAAACTTCCAGAGAGCTTCTGGGAAATTTACTGTGAAAAATGTTTTTGCCTTTCTGATCCTTCAATTAGTTCTTACCCATGAGGACCGTTCTCCTTTCCTTATCCAAGGTCCCCTGGTTCTTGTGTTTCTGAATGATTCAGTTAGGAATTTTCCTTCAAATTAGCACAGCAAAGCAAAAGGAAACTATTCTTACCTAGACACAGAACCTCCAGATTTATCCCTTAGAAGATGTGTGGAAGTGGGGGGAAGCCATGCCCTCATTATGTTTCTTATCAGCTCTCACGGTCTAGTTCGGTGACCCTTTGGTGTTTAATCCACTTGGTTGAGCATATGTAAGCCATTTTGACTCTATTCATGTGAGTCAAATATATGTATTTACATAGAACATGCTGCTTTTCATGTTCACTTGCTACTTTCCTTTACATGGGCTTGTTTGGAGAGGCCAGTTGACTTTGCAGGGTGCTAGTGTTGCTCAGCCTCTGCCCCAGGTCACGGTGTCTAGCCACCAAGCCTCCGTCAGGCAGACTTCTCATCCTTCCCGCAGGGACTGAGGAAGGAAGGATGCTACCCAGACAGGCAGAGGAGCTGTCTTCCTGCTTCCTGCCCATGCCACCTGACATTCTATCCCAACGTTCCTGCCTGGCTGTGGAAAGTAAGACCTAGTCCAGAAACAGGCAGATTGTGTTTTCACAGTCCTTTTAGAGGGCATACCCTTGCCTTCTCTCTATCCTTTGATTCTTTGTTTTATATTCTTTTAAAGAAGTTTTTATTTAACTTCCAGTTAGTTAACATACAGTGTAATATTTCAGGTGTACAATATAGTGATTCAACACTTCCATACAGTACCTGGTGCTCATCACCACTGGTGCCCTCTTTAATCCCCATCATCTATGTAACCTATCCCTCCACCTACCTCCGTTCTTGACTCTTAAACAGGTATCTACATATTGAGAATTCAAAACTTGACTTCTAATTGTCTTGGGCTTTATCTTCATCGACTGTTGATTGTGACTCTTTATGGTAAAGGGAAATTTTCTTAATCACAACACACTGATAGTTCTATATGTACAGCGCACAGCACCTTAATTAGATTTGTCACAAAATACTTGTTTCTTGTTCTGTAATTCTGTTCCTTCACTTTCCCATCGTATTAATGGTATACTTCGTTTTAGTGATTTCAACAATTTCTCCTGACAAGTGGAGATCTCTGTACAAAAGATTTCTCAGGGGCTGTGTATTTTATTTAAAACAACCGCGTATGCTGTGGAACCAGCTCTTAACTGAAAGCACCAGATGGTTTGGGACACCTGAGTGTCTCTGACTTCTATACCTGGTTAGCTAGTTAACTTTTCTCAGCTGCAGTCTTTTTATTTTACAAGTAGATCTCTCAGATGCGTTGCAGCTCTGAACTCCATCTGAGAGCTTCCTTAAGGCAGAAAGAGTGTGGAGGTTAAATATTGTATTTCTACGTGGTTGTCTTTTGGTTTACTTTACTTAGACATTTGGTTGTATACGTAGCTATGACAGTAGTGTTTCCGTCGAAAGCATTCTTTAGAGGTGTGAAGAAAAATCCAAAATACAAGTTCTGTGTTTCGACAAAGATCGTCAGTTTCTGAGTTCTTTGGCGGTCACTGAGCATTTTGTGGTTTCTGAAGGAAATTACATGAATTCGGGTGGTTTTGTATCATTTTTCCTTAAAACGAGGCAAAATGCAGATGTTCTGTTATGTTTTTCTGAAGGTTTTTGGAACGATATAAAACCTATACCTAGAGGTTGACTTTGTTAGTTCTAAACCTCATTTCTTCCCACCTCTTCCCTGAGGTTAGCAAAGGCTAAAACTGTACAATTGTCCTGGAAAGTGAAACTTTTGAATTCTTATCAACGTTAAATAAATTTATAGG